ACGAAAGAGTTGCGAAATTATTGAAAGATACTCGTTTTTAATTCACGGGAAATCGTTGGACGTTAAAAGATTGAGAGATTCATTAATTGTTAAAAATTTACCTAAGAATCTTTTGCGACCCTTTTACGTTTCTTTGCAATTAATTGAATGATATTATATAATAAACATTTCGAATACAAGAATGTAGAAATATAAAATATTACTTGTTACAATAACTGCTCTTTTTAAATTTTTATTTCTTTGAAATTTCTCGTTAGTAAAACTTCATTTGAAATACTAGATATAGATGTCAATGAAGTTACGAAGATAGAAGAATATTAAACGTGAAAAATGAAAGATATACGGACAGATAGTAATTTCTCAGTTTTACAGACTCTCATAAAACTTGTTTCACCTTTGCCCAAGACATCGACATGGTGTTATTAAAAACCAGGGAGAAAACTAAAGGGAGCTTTCAATGACATTAAAGAACGCGAGAGAAAGAGATGAAAGGAGGAAGAAAGGAAGGGTGGAGGAGGAACAGAATAGGAGCAAGCGAAAAAGACGAATATAGGCTTGCATAAAGTATGCAAAGCTTGAACTCGTCTCTATTACATCTCCCATAACAAAATTAAAAAAGTTTCCACAGTATATTAAAGAGAAATATGCGGAGCACGATGTTATTAGGGATTCAATAAACGGATATAAACAGTGTGTTATATAATAATATTCACGTGAAACACTTTTGGGGAATCATTGTTGGCGAAAAGTAAAAACAAAAGTTGATAAAATATCGTTCGAGAGACTTGTTTCTTCAAATTATAAGCAATTTAAATTTACGTTAAATTTTCTTGTAATTGCGTGTTGAAAAAATTATAACGGTCTATTTAACAAAGATTTTATTTAAATTTTAAGAAAGTTTTAAGAAACGCTCGTTAAGCATTCCCTTTTATTTCCAAGTTAAAGTAAGTTGCTTTTGGTATTCAATTAACAGCCGTTTAAGAAGTAGGGAGGAGAGTTTAATAAGTGGGTAAAACTTCAAAATCATTAGGTATTCTCTCAGAATAAACTTTAAGCGAAGAATTATTAGGAAAATATCGTATGAAATCCGAATCCTTCTTTAATAATGTTAAAATACTTCCAAAATCTTTTGTTCAAAAACTATCGATATTATAAAATATTATAAAATTTAAATTTAATAATTCTATAAAATGAAATGATTTTGGGATATAAAAATTCGATTCGAATAAAACTCTATCACAATAAAAATCTATTCTTCTATAAAAATATATAATTTATTTTTCGAAACATACGGCAAAGATTCTTCAAAATTCACTCCAATATTTTCTCCAATAAAAGACATCCGTTAAAAAAATCTCTCTATACTTTCAGAGTCATAACTCTACGATTCGTTAATATTATTAATCTCCAATACCACCAACGATTTAAATTTAAACTCTTCGCCAAATATTTTTCCATCTAGTTTATTTAAAAAACTCTAAAAAAAAAAAAACAAGAAAAAAAACGAACAATAAAGTACATGTATGTTTCCACTCATTCGACAAAACGCCATCTATGCAAATTAAAAATTCATCGCAGCCCCATTCGTCTATTAATTCCAACCAGTTTCAAGGTCCGTTCTCCTTTCCAGTTACTTCTAAAATTTATAAACCCATCGAAAAAACAAAATTTCAAACTTTCGTCGAAAACGTTTTCCAGCGACAGTGGAGAGAAATAAAAAAAAAAAAAAAAAAAAAAAAGAAAAAGGAACAAAAAAAGCAAAATTCGGTACACCCAGCGAGGAATTTTGCCCGATGCAAACGATTCCACCCGTTTGGAAATTGAAAAGCGGTGGAAACACGGAAAGTTTGCGTTGCCCTTTTCGGGAGCCGATTTTAAACGGCATCGGGCCTCTCTTCACGAGCGAAAAGTCACACGTGGCGTAGGCGGACGTTGAAAACAAGTGTTGATCGATGTCACGTACCGATGCCCCCGCTTCGACAGATTTTTTCGCGCTTCTGTTTACCCATCGTCAACACGCTTTTTTCATTTAACGATTATCAAGAGGATTGCCTATCTCTGTGAACCGCTCTCCATCCACGAAATGCTCCGGGGCTGCATTTTAAATAACTCTCTGTTCTCTGCACGATGTCCAATACTTTTTTTTTTATTTCCACTTCTTTTTTTTTCTTTCTTTCTTTTTTTTTTTTTTTTTTTTTTTTTTTTTTTTGCTTTTTGAAACTCTCTCGTCAAACTGTTCCCTGGTCATTGTCCGACGAGATGTCACGATTACGAACAACGATACACGAAACTATCCTATTCGAAAGATAATTTCGTTTGAAATATGATTTCAATTTCGATTTGCTTTATAACTCGTTAATTAATCGAGTTTATTGGTTGCCTTGATTTATTCATTTATTTTTAATTTTATACATAATCTCCAATACGATGATTTTTCTTCTGTGTTAATTGTGAATTTATATTAATCGTTAATTAATAATTTTTATTAATTACTTACTTTTTCATTGTTCTTTCACTTTGTTCTTAATTTATTTTTTTTTTATATAACGAATAATCTAATCATCGATAAAGCTGTAAAAGCTTGTTTCCCTTGTAACCCAAATACCCAATAGCTTACAAGTTTATCGATTCCATCCGAATCGTGATTGAACAAACACGTGGAACGATCTCAGTAATAAATCGGATGTACGAGTGATGCAAATCCAAAAATACAACCAGATTTGTCCAGATTTATCATCGATCGCAAACAATCCTGAAGCCTTCTGGTTTCAAAACAATAAATTATCACCTTCCCTCTACATATATATATATAAAGAGAGAGAGAGAAAGAGAAATAACATTTTCACCCTGGAATATCCCGACTAACTATTGAAATCTCGGCTCAAAGTGGAATAACAACGTATTGTAATCCATGCATTTTACGCATGCATTCTCTCACTCGTGCATTGTCCATTCATCCATTCGCTCATTCATTATTATACTTCTTAATTATTCCACGACGAATTGCGTGAAAATTATTTATAAATGCAACGCGAATAACAAACGTAACGATGGACAGATTAAAAATACAAATTATTATCGAGGGAAGAAAACGGTGGAAAAGAGGGAACGATAAAAAAAAAAAAAAATTCATAAATCATCTCCGATGAAAAATATTATAATAGAAACACGATCGATACGATAATGTACAAAGAATCGAGCGAATTTTAATTAAATTCCGTGGCGGAATTTTGAGGATAAGGAGAAAGAAAATTCCAAAGGGGTAAAAAGATTCGTTCCATCGCGCGGATTATCCATTCCTTCGAATGATTGATAATCGAGACGGAAATATATCAAACGATTCTCCGCCTCCTTTCCTTCCTCGTTCACAACCTCGCCAATTATTCCCGGTAGCAGCGTGACGACAACGACAACGACGACGACTACGACGACGACAATATCCAACCTGGTGAGAATAAAAAAAAAAAAGAAAAAACAAAACGAGGAGGGAAAGCAACCGGTTGGACCCGGCAAGAAAGAAAAAATAAAAAAATAAAAAAAAAAAAAGAAGAAGGTTGGCCGCCACGGTGAAATTAAAATCTCACGCAAGGCTTAAAAGAGCCGCTGGAAAAACGGCTCTCCTCCTTCGGTCTCGTTTCGTCGTTGAACCGGCGTGTCTGGGACGCGAAACGAGGAAATAATTTGCGTTTCCACCGTGCACCGTCGTTGTCGTCGACGTTTTCGACGGGAAGACCGGAGGAGAAGAATCGGTGAGAAAGGAAAGGGGGGAGAACGAGAGAGAGAGAGAGAGAGAGAGAGAGAGAGAGAGAGAGAGAGAGAGAGAGAGAATAAAGGAGGAGCAGAAGAAGAAATAGGAAAAGGCAACGATGGAGACTGTACGAAGAGAATTCCTGTCGAGTAGGCCTGACTCGTTATTCGTTCCTACGTTCTGCCGGTTTTTTGTCAAGTAAAAAAGTTCCACCGGGAAAAGGAACCAATTTAATAAGGCCTTAATAACTTGCCGGGATCGGGGAGGCAGACGGCTGTGTTTGACGGCTCCCGTCCCTAGAAAAGCGAATTCACGCTTTCGAGTTACCATTTCGTTGGAATAATGATATTTCGTTTCGGCTAGATATCGGGCGAGCTTTAGATCATATAGCTTTTTAGCTATTGGAATTTTCTTAAATTTTGTCGATTGTATTATCGAGCAAAGAAGGGAAAAAAGTTACTACGAAACAATTTTATATAAAATTCAATACAACAATAGAGATGTTAAATAATTATTGTATAAATAGTGAGAGGAAATTCGTATAAATTCGAGTTTCCTAAGTCATCCTATTTCATTAACAACGTTCGATTTTGGATCAGTCTGGGTCAAGGAAGAATGGAAGAAAATCTGGATTCATAGATGATCTCGATTTCCACGTTTACCAACAGATCCAGATGGAGGGTCGCTTTGATCCGGCGCATAAACGCGACACAACGTTTCAAAAAACGTTGCGAAGGGGGGAGGGTGGGTTCCGCGATAAAATTTCTACGTAAGTTGCTCTTTGTACCGGCGCCCCCTCCTCCTTCCATACGCAAATATTTGCCCAACGACGGAAAACAGAAATACTTATTCGCGGCAAATAAATACGACGAGCGAACAGAGAAATGGTGGAGTGGGTCGGTTACCTCGGCACAAAGTACGGCCTCGGCGAAAGTTGAAATGGAATTAGTTAAGCGCCACTGTCAACGGTGTTTCTCCTCTCTTGTACTCTTCCAAACAGAAAGAAAGAAAGAAAGAAAGAAATAAAGAAAGAGAAAAATTAAGAAGATAGAAAAACTAACGACAAACGGCGGTGTATACACCGTACAACAGTGACAGGGAAATTTTTATGAGATTTTTTTCCTTTTCTTTCTTTTTTTTTTTTTTTTTTTTTCGTAAAGGAGGGAAAATTAAACATTTTTGCCCGGACGAGTTATTGACTCGTTCCACTCTGCCACCGCGTTGAAATTAATTCGTTCGCTCTTTGTTTCAGGGATCTCCAAGGGAACAATATCTCGGTGATATTCAAGACCGACTTCGAGGACATGGCTACGCTTCACGTTCTGTGAGTAACCGTTTGTCAAATAACGAACCGAGTTGGACGAAAGGGGATAGCTTTAGTCGCGTGTCGCAAATAGAATTGAATGTCGGTGCCCGCTCGCGAGTCTGAAACCCGTTCGAGCGGGTTCTTAACGAAAAGTTCGCGAAATTCTAGTAAATTTGTCCGGAAACGAGACGCGGACGCCATTGTTGACGACTCGCGGAAAGACGAACTTGCGCTCGACGAATTTCTCTCTCTTTGCGTGTCTGTATGTGCGTGTGTATGTGTGTATGTGTATCTGTGCGCGCGTGTGTGTATGTGCAAAACTCACCTCTCTTGCATGAAGATCGTACTCTTTCGTGGACTGTTTTCAGCTTCGTGACTTCGCCTCCGAAAGACGTAAAGTTTCTTCTTCTTCTTCCGCGTTTCGAGAAGGGAGAAATGAGATTTGGCGCGAGGACGAGGAGGGAACAAAAGTAATTAAGATTAACTGGGTCGAAGTGTGTTTCGTTCGCGCGTTTCGGTTAGAATGGAAGAATTATTTAACAGTATAAACTACGGTATCGGTATATATACGATTTAATCGATTTGATTTAACGATTTTAATTTTAATGGTCGAAGCGATAGAAAGTAAGAGAAAATGTGAATTTTGTTAGTTTTATCTTCAAGTATGTGTGTTCTGTGTGTATTTTCCAGTTGGCTATCGAATAATCAAATTCACACCATTGAAAGAGGTGCCTTCCAGGATCTAGTTGGTGTCGAGAAGCTGCGCCTTAACAATAATCAAATACGTCACCTACCCGATCTTCTCTTTAGCAACATGATGAATTTAAAGCGTCTGTGAGTATTAAAATTATTTTATATATGTTTTGCATGGAATATTGTTATTTAGAGAAACGAAATGGATAAAATAATTATAATTATTTGTCGAAATATTTGTCGAAAGTACATGGCGTTTATTCGTGGAAATATTATAATTTATAAAGTGAGATAATATCCGAAGGAAAAAGAAAAACTTTAATCCTTAAAATTTTTTCCAATATAAGTGTCGAAGAACTGATTTGCGGCGCACGAGATTAAATTACAAACTTTCGACCAAGAATTAAAAAAAAAAGCCCTTCCTATCTCGCGTTGAACGTAAAAGTTTTAACAAAAAAAGTGAATGTCTCGAATTGAAAAATTATACTTCTCGATATAGCTTCGGAAAACGATAGGTTTTTAATTCAAAGTTCGATTCAAAGGAATTTAAAATCTGATATGTAAATCTTTATGAATCGAATTTTCGTTTGAAAAATCGTCGAACAATTTTTCTTCCACTAAAATAAAATTCGCGAAATCCATCTCCACATTTATTTCATTTACCTCTCTCCCCAATAATTTTCAACGAACTGTCGATCAGAATTCAATCGCAAAAAAAAAAAAAAAAAATCATCAAAAATAAATATTTCAGAAGTTTCATCCGAGAAAGAATAAAATAAAATTTTCCATTTGAACTATACGACCCACCCAGATAAAACTCGGGTTTTAATTATAAAATCTCGAGAATAAAAGTATTGCTCAATGATATATAAACTGGAACAAACAATGGATCCTTTAATTAGAAGAGAGCAAATAAACTTGGTTTGAAAAAAAGAAAAACAAAAAAAAAAAGAAAGAAAAGACTCGGATAAAAACAGCTTCTCCCCACCGATTTTTCTCCCCATTCGATCGGTGCCTTCGTTCCTTGAACAGCGAAAAGTCAGATATCACAGTTTTCATATCAATACGACAAAATCGTATCACGACTCGCGCATTTTACAATTCGTTGACAGATATGTTCCACGGTGACGAATTTATTTAATAAATTTGATCAAAAGATATGCAGAAATGGGAAAATGTATCCGTGCACGGAGATTTATTTCACGTCATTGCCGCGAACAACACCGGAGGTTATCGCATAAACTTTTCAAATGATGGCCTACATTTCACATTTTTCCACATATACAAAATGTTCGAGGTGAGACAAGCAGGTAATTCTATACGTGTAAAAATGAAACGGGAGAGTAATACTTTTTTCATCGAATTCTTCTTTTTCAAGAAAAAATGAGTTTAAAAATTTAATTCAAATATATATGAATTCAATTTTCAATTGGATACAATAGTTGATCGACAAAATATAGAAATAAATATGAAATTTAAAATTAAAATTGAAGATTCATTCAATGTACTCGTTACTTTTTAACTATACAAATACAAAACGCATATTTTTCTTATTTTCTAATATATAGTATTAAATTTTAATATTCGTATAAAAGTAAAACGAAATATTTAATTAGTATGTAATATTATAATAAATAAACGGTGTGTAAAAAAGCGAGGATTAAACAACAAAATTTTATTTTAATTCATTCATATTCATTTGAAGATTCAATTAAATTTTCTTATAACTGAAAATCTCAGTTTTCAAACTCGATTTAAAAAACAAAATTTTAAACAAAAAAATGTTGATTCCATTTTTTTCCTCCTCTACCTATTTACACCAGTTATTATTGAACACCCTATATATATACATATACAGGCGGAAGTATTGTGCGAATTCGGTTTGCGAAACCCTCCACGCAAGTTTCCTCTCCCTCTCAACAACCCCCATATCGAACACGCATGACTTTTCCGTTCTGGATTTAAATCTATTTTTTCCCCTTCCTTTGTTTTAATTTTTTTTTTTTTAAGGGCGATCGTTCCGTTTCCGCTTCCTCTACTTTAAAAAACAAGAATAGCAAAAGGGGTGGAAAGGGGATGGAAGAGGAAAAAGCGAACGGAAGTTACATCCATCGAGCACTGGCAGCGTCCCATTTTTGGGGGAAATTCGACTTCTCGAATTCTTTTTTGCATTCCCAGAAACGATGTTACGAATGGTGTCTCTATTGTACGCGGAAAATGGAACAGATTTTTCCTCCAGAAGTAGTTAATACCGGTTATGTTTCGTTCGTGAAATTCTTTTTTTTTTAAAAATACTTGGAATATTTTAAAATTCATTTTTTTTTATAATGTGTATCCTATATAAATTTATAAATTCTTTTCGATTAAAATCGTGCTTTGAGAATTAAAAAATTGAGAATAATAACGAGTTGAAAATGGGATATTATTATTAATATATATTAGAATTTTTGTTCGTCGTTTCAGTTAATTAAGCGTATTAATTAATCATATGGAATATTTCTAAGACACGATATAAATTATATCATTTCGAAACGATATAAAGAATTGATGTACGAAAATATCAAATGAATCTTATTCGTAAACCGGTCTGTAGCTGCGAATATTTTAATATTAATGCAATGCCATTAAGCCTGTGCTTTTCATTCTTTTTCTATGTCTCGTACCGATACATATTCATTTCATTCATTCAATCAGTATCTTCATTAATACACATATATTTGTATCATTTAAAACATATTCATGAGAAGATGATACGATCTCTTGAAAGTACAGGATGTTTCAACAATCGTGATTTCTCCTCGCAGAAATTGACACGCGAAGAGTATATTCGAAGCGTTCATATTACGCTCGTCGAAACGAAACAATGAATACATTAACACGTAAATAATAATACAAAAAAAAAACTACCAAAGTAATAGGTGCCACTAAAAACACGACAAAATTGATCAAAATAATTTACTAATCCCGTATTCTTATCTAAAATCAACATCCACAACTCGTTCCAAAGATTCATGCATCACAAACACGATTCCCGATCAAAGGAGCAGTCAGCCGCTAGCTAGCTAAGAAGATCGAGCACCGGGTTAAAGGAATGCGATCCAAAGATTAACACGAAGGTCCACTTTCCCCTCCCTCCCTCCCCCCTGCATACTTCCCGAGCCTGAATCTTAATCACCTCGTCTCTCTCAAGTCCAGCACCTGGTCTAAGAAGAGAACGAAGGAAAAAAAAAAAAAAAAAAAAAAAAAAAGAAGAAGAAGAAGTCATCGAACCGAATTATCACGATCGAAACGTGGACATGGCTTCCGTGTCGATGAAGTTACGGCTACCGTGTCGATCTCCTCGATAAGTCGTAAAAATCGTCTCACTCGGTAAAATTCTTCTTCTTCTTCTTCTTCTTTTCTTCCTCTTTTTTCTCGTCCTGTGGCGGAGGAACGAGAGGAGGGAAGGGGAAGAAAACAAGAGAAACAAAGGATGAAGGGAGGGGGATGGGTGAAGAATGGGCCATCTATCATAGCGCGAAGTGGGCAGACGAGAAGTCAGAAAGTTACACGAGGCCTTCCACTCGTGCCCTCGGACACGAGGGTAACCTACAGCCTCTGATGATAAGGCCGGGATCAGGCAGCTTACAAAAGAACGTATTATGTTGCGAGCGGTACGGAGAGATTCTCACGGGCATCCGGACGCTTGATAATCCTTCATCCGCACCGTGGATAAGTCGATGCCCCCGCAAGGAAACCGGAGAAGGTTAATACGTTGATTGGGAGGGATGTTGCTTGGGGGATATACGACGTTTTAGGATGTTGTTCGTGCTGTGGTTTATTAAGGTTACGCGTTACCATTTGCGCGAAACGTTGGACGAATTGGACGAATTGGATCGTTTCATTTGGGGAAAGGGTATACGGTGTACATTTAATTTTCGCGTTGCGAAATGCTATTATGATTTATTGTGTTGTAATTGGAAAAAAAAAAGGATTGGTTCATTTATTAAATTTGTAAAATCCTCTTTTTACAAGTGTGATATTATTTCCATATTTTCGATAAATTGAATAATTGTCATATGGTTAAAAATTTTGTTTTGTTTATAAAAATTTTAAATTTTTGATACAACGATAATTTAAATTTTCCACGGTTTTAATATTGGTTCCAATTAAAAAGGTATTGGCGTTGTAATCAAATTACAGAATGTAATTTTATTTATTGAAATTGTCCCTTTTGTACGCACGTTATGTCATGCTTTTTATTACTTTTAAAATGTCGTTTTACATTTATATTAAATATAGAACATTTTGAAATGTTAATTATTCTCCTTTGTGATATAAATACGCAAGAGAATTAATCTATGAATCTGAAAATCTGATGGCATGATAAATAATCTCGTCCAGAAACGGGACTTTGGAAAAAGAGAACGACGTTCAAGTAATTATTCCAATATGAAAATTAACGTAGATAAAATGGGGAAACGTTTTGGCAACGGTGAAAATATTTGCTTCAAAGGAAAATATTTAACCAGAGGGGATACGTTATACAGTGACGCAATATAATGATACGCAAATTAGTTGTCCTGCGTATAAGCTTATTAAGCTTAAGTTTATCGAGTTATTTAAAGAAATATGAATTGATTTTTCTCTTGAAAATAAACATAACAAGATATATTTCACAAGAAATATTGATTTTTCTTTGAAATTTGATCTAAAGTATGGTTCATTAAAAATTCGAATAACATCGAACATTTGATATAACGTATGAAACGTTCACTAAACGTATAACTAATATTCACTTTAATATCTTCATCAACATTCACATAGCCGGTTACATTATTAACACTGGCAATTTCATCCAACACGAAACTACTGTAATTAATTCATTTTATACGTACATTCTTCGCGACGCGAAATTATAAATACGTGAGGATGAATCGATGATTAGAGGGAGTATGTTTATAAAATTTTTTAACTATTGTAAATTTCAACTTATTTTCTTTTTTTAACTAAAATAGAATAACAATTCGATCAATACATCTATAATAAAAATACTTCAATAACATAATATACTTTAAATATTCAAAAAAAGGAAAAAATAATACAAGTTAATACAACTCACTAAACAAATCTCGTTCCTTTCCAAAATATTTTCCGTTATCGAATAATTACCGTCAAAACAAAGATAAAAATGTATTTTTAAATCAATATTTAAATTAATTTCGTCGCGAGTAACAACATGAAATACGAAATCTAACGATATAGTAGTCGTAATTCACAATCTCGGCAAAGAAATTCATCGAGCAATTACCATTAACTCGATTAATCTTAACCCCTTAATTTTTCTAACCCGATCTAAAAATTGATTAATCGCACCGCATCGTCCCAAGAGGTTTCCTTACAAGCTTTACCAATTAGGGGGCCAATTAGAAATATTAATTAACTCTACACGGAGAGATTCCCCCGATTGCACGCGCGGCCGATACCACCACCGGTTCACCGTTGTGTCTTCTAAGCACCACGGGCGTGCAACAAAACGAGGGAACGAGCGAAACGTGTGATTAACCCATCGCGCGCAACTACAAACGTAGAAAGCTATTCGAGGTGGTAAGAGGATGAAGCTCGGCCCGTAATAAATGGTTTGACACAATGGAAAGGGGCGCGGACACTCGGTTGATTAGTATCGCTAGCATCGTGCAAGGGTATTGCGCACGGTTGAAACGCGATATACCCTCGTGGCCAACACGTATAGAGTAAGTACGAGCTTGTATTTACGAGGCAATAACATTTGTTCGCTGTACACTTAAGCCGATAATAACCGGGACAAACGTTGCCCCAACGAAGCTTTGACAACGCGGTGTTGCGGTGATTTAAGCAATGGAAAACGATTCGGTTTGAAACGTCTCGCCATTCTTAGCCGTGAAAATTTACGGACTTTACTTTCGTCGCGCAAGAGACGAGAGAGTCTTGTGCCCCTCGATTAACGCGTCACGTTATCTCGATTTCGAACGGAGATCTGTTACGGAGGGATTTAATTTTGAATTGGGATTTAATTGGGAATTCCTTGGTTTTGATAAATTTGAAAAGATTTTTTTTTTCAAATATATATTCGAAAGTTATCGTTATACCGGTTACGTATCTTTGAAAGCGTCTAGGTTGAAATAGAGGCTGCTAGGTTTTAAAAAAGGAATTGATTGAAACGATAATTCTGACGCGTTAAAAAATAATAATGCATCGAGTAAGAAACGAAACTGGGGCAACTAGAAGGAAAATTGAATATAATTTTCAGAAATTTTGCATGATACGTAACATCGTTTATCATAGTTAACCCCCAGTTATTACCTACATGCAAATACACCGTAATTTATCATTAACTATGAATACATCTAAATCTCTTGATTATTTTCCGCAAAATTCTCTCGTGAACGTTGAATAATTCACCCCTCGTAATTTATAACGGTAACAATTCCCTCAAAAATAAATCATTCCTCGATTTTCAATGTATATATAAGCACCATGTATAATTACATCCCATGAATATCCCTATAAATTCCTCGCTAATTTCCAAGATAACCGAGATACCGAAAATAATAAACTTTCGAAAATAAACTTTAAATAAGCTAGAAATACTATTTTCCCCGGGCGAAAGTCGAACAATTCCCTTATGATCCCCTGAACGGCCGCCAATCAGTTCTCGTTTCATCCGACTCTTATCGCGGTGGCACAAAGCACGGTAACGGCAGCATTTCGGAATTGTGCACAGAGAGAGAGAGAGAGAGAGAGAGAGAGAGAGAGAGAGAGAGACTTGAGAGAGGCGAGGGAGGTCCACGAGGCCCTTTTGTTAGTAGCGGCGAAGGAACGGCCACGTCGAAATTCGGTAATTGCTTTCTGGATTGGCTCGGCCGCTCTGGGAGTTTAATCTCGGTCCGTTTCTCGGCCACGTGTCTGAAATTATTGAAATTCTACGGAGAATCTACAGGCAAAAACGCGGCAAAAAAGTGTTACGTCGAAGCGGCCCGGATGCCAGTTTGTTCCACAAGGAAGGAAGTAGAAAAATAAGAAGAGAAGTAAATTTAATTATATCGGTTTGCGCCGAACGAACATATATAGAAGAGCGCGGTGTTCGCTACCAAATTGCTTGTTCAAATTAGGAAACTTATCATGATCAAGCTGAAACACCGATTCCAAATGAAACTGGCAGCGCTAAAAGCCGAGACTTTCCTCCTTTTGCTCCCGGCACGTCTGTCTGCTCGAAATTCGGTAATTGCTTTCAGGATTGGCTCTGGTAAGGCGGGAGTCTAAATCTGCCGGTTCTTGCCGTATGTTTCGAGTCCAGAATATCTCGGTTTCTTTTTCTCTTAGCCCCGATTCTCGCTTCTCTTTCTAATCCCTAGGATATTTTTGTACCGCTTAACATTAGTTTTAAATGTTAAACATTCGAGTCCGTTAATTTTAGATATTAAAAATAAAATCTTTATTTTCATTTCTTATTTCATATTTAAAGTTGTAATTCAATGTTGTTACTTTTTTTTTTTTTGTTAGAAAAAACTTTTTTGAGTAAATGAAATAGTTAAAACTTATAGATAAAAATAAGAAAGAAATTTGAAAATCAATTGTCACGTAGTCATCAAAGATTTTTACTTAGTATACAAAGTAAAATTATGTAAAAGACTTCTAACAATAGGGATAATGATTAATACGAAATATAGTATAGTAAAATTAAATTTTACATAAGAAAATCACATCAAATCTAGCATCACAGGTTTAAAAAAAATTCTTTTCGAAATTAAACAAAAAGTAATAAATCAATGGTGAAAATTTATTTTAAAAATCGATTATCTTCAACTTGCATGAGAAATATTGCGATTTATCACGAGGAAAAATACAAATATCCCATTCCTTATTTTTCTTTCGAACGTCTTCGTCTCGTCCACGACGATTCGTCTTACTCTCTCTCTTTCTCCCCGACCATGATCCCTCTAGCGGACATAATTACAGGTTACGAAGCCAATGGATGGTCAACGTTGAACGAAACGGCAAGACCTCTAACCTATCATCGCGAACGTCTGGTTCAACTCGTGCATCGGAGGAGAAAAGTCTCGAACAGGAGGATCTTGCAACGCGAGACGTAACGCAATCTATTTAAATGAACCTCCGGTTTAGCCAGGGATCCATTATCGTGATTGACTCTACCGTTAAGCGCGAGTTCCACTCGAAAAACGTTGCGTTGCCATGCATTATTCATGGTGGCCGCGCACCGAGGAAATTATGACGATAAATATGATGAAGCGTATTTTCTGTTAAGAAAACAGTTTCCGGTTAATTTCACGGGACCTGTCCCGCGGTGAATATCAGGAATGTCGTACAGCTTCGCGTATCGATATTAAATACACGTTAATGATAGCGTTGATAATTGTATAATTAAATTTAATACCCTCGATTATATTAACGTGTATGTTCGAAGATATTTATTATTGCGTTACTTTGATATTAGCGATTCTCAATAACAATTTTCTCGGATGCAAATTGTTGTCGTCGATTTTCGCCTTTCTTTTTTTTTTTTTTTTTTTTTTTCTATATACTTGGATTGATATTTTTTTTCTAAGATTATAGAGTAGATAATTAAATTATAGAGATTATGGATGATTAATTCCAATGTTTCGATTAAATGCGTAATTGGTTCTCTAAATGATATTTGTCGAATTTTTTTTATCAAATTTTGAATTGTAAATTAATTATAAAGTCAAAGAAATATTTTCAAATATTTTTATACGTTTAAATTCTTATCGATATAGATTGTATGGACGTATATTTAAATTAAAAGATTATCTGTTTAACACGAACAAAAATGTTAAATATAAAGAAAATTCACTACAATTTTTATAACGATGCACAATTACAATATTGTGATTAAAACATTATATCATTATGCGCAAATAAATCATGTACTGTCAATCTTAATTCATTTCTGTCCAATGCTAGTCTCGATTCTCTTTCTCAAACCTATTGATATTAATTATTAATTTAATTTATGGTAACGTCCATATTTCCTACGAACGACATCTTGACACTGTTTGAAAGACATTTCCATTTCGTGGAAACGGACGTGTCACGTGAGACCGTGGAAATGGTCACTCGTTACTCGTGTAACGACCCCGTGAAACCTTAAAGAAGCCTATAACCACCCACGTGACTCGTGCACGTGCGCACGGTCACACGTGAGTTACGAACTGTCTGCAAAGAATTTTCCACGGAGAAGGGAGATCCAGAAGGGTCGTAATAGTTGACACTCGACTCGAAGTTTTTAAATAATAGATTATGCGCGGAACGAACTTGAGACCGACACAGGCCGCAAACTGGAACACACACAACACCGGTGTTGTTGCTCGCCATTGGAAACATAAGACAACTTTCGCTCGAAGACATAAAAGTTATGAAAAGGTCAACGAACGAACTGAACTATTACTAGTTCAACTTTCTTACTTCTTGCGATCGATCGTGAACGTCTTCTCGAACGTTACCCTTTAACTTAATCGACATGAACGCTTCTATTCGATTATTCTCGAGAAATTGAAGGAATTAATGGAGAATATTATCGTGAATTAATTTTCAGTACAAATTTTATGATATTTATTGAGAATAAATTATTGTGAATGTAAAATATAATGATCTTGATTAAATTATAATTTATTTGATTGGTATAATTTAATTTAATTTAGCAATCTTTTCTTCTAATCAACGCCATGGTAAAAATATTTTGTTTTTTAAAAGAAATAATTTGGCAATCGTTTATTCAATGATAACAATTTTTACAATAAAACATATTACTTTTGTTTCAGAGACCTTAGCCACAATCAAATCGCCACGATTGGACCAAAGACACTCAGAGGAATTTCATCTTTAAAATATTTGTAAGTGGAATCTGAACTAATTTTTTTAGATAGATAATATATCATTGAAATATTCTAATGGATATTCTGTAAATAAATATGAACTCTACCTAATCGAAACGATGAAGATGCATGCTCTATGAAGTAGTATCAGTCACATTAGTCAGACATTTCAAAGAAATGATCAACAATGCTAGTAGATTTAGAATTTCACGTGCTGAACACTTTTACTTTCTTACACCATATTTGCAATTAAAATATCGACAATATCGAAATAAAATATTTATACAATGGATCATAAAAAATTAGAAATATTTCGAGTATTTTCTATTTTAATTTAATTATTATATCGTATATACAAATATAAATAACATTGTTATTCAGATTACTCGACAACAATGTGTTAACCTGCATCGATGAAGCATCAATACGAGAATTAAAGGATTTGGAAATACTGTAAGTGGATAATTATGATCGTAATTATCGACGATCGACAATTAAACAGGAATAATACTTTGATATATCATTGTTCCTCTGTTGCAGAATGTTGAACAATAATAAATTAACAACATTAGGGAAGGAAATGTTGAATGGCTTTTCGCATTTGCGAACGTTGAAACTGGTGGACAACCCATTATCCTGCGATTGCCACTTAGCCTGGCTCTCTCGGCATTTAAAAAGTTATCCGAGACTTGGCCAACACACAAAATGTGCCTCTCCAATTCATTTGAAGGATCGAAATATCGCCGATGTACAGGTTCGATCGAATAATTTTATTTTATCGAACATATTTAATCTAATGTACAAAAGGAACGATCAATATTTTATTCTTTTATTCATCTACCATTCTATTCACCACAGAATTTGATTAAATTATTTTATAAATTATTATTTTCAAAGTTTCAATCCCCCAATGCATAATTTTTCAATATAGAGCACAAAACAATTTAAATTATTCGTACGATTCTCAAAATTCTTTTTGCTAATATATCTTTTAATAGCAGAATAAAATATATAACGCTATTAAGATTAAATATTCATCGTGTTCGATTCCAACTTATTTATTTTTACGAGTAATTTTTACAAGTAATTCCATTCGATGGAGAATGTTCTCGTTTGCGAAACAGGAGCACGAGTTCAAATGTTCTGGGCCGGTTGAGCGTACAGGATCAGAATGCAGCGCAGAACCGCAATGCCCGCATCCTTGCAGATGCGCTGATGGTATCGTCGACTGCAGGGAGAATTCTTTGACGAAAGTACCCACTCATCTCCCGGAGGACACGACCGAATTGTTCGTAATTTACTTTGTCACAAACCACCGTGTAGAATTTGCCAAATATCTCTCATTTGCATTTATGAAACTTCATAACGGTATAATTAAATTAGTGTAAAATATAATAATAATAATGAAATTCAAATTTGAGATGAATAATATTTGAAATCTTGTCGAATTTTGGATTAACGATTTACGACGAAACTTTAATCATTCGTATTCAATTTCTTTTCTACAATGTTAATTTAATTCTGTAAAACTTTTTGAATGAAATTTCAAAGGAATGAAATTCAAATTTCAGGATCGGAATTGGTTAAAATTTTTTTAATGAAAAAAAAAGAAAGAAAAAAGAAAATAGATTGTTCGATGAATGAAATATGATTAAGTTTATTCTACACACTCTCTGTTAAATTAATTTCGGTAAATGTAACAGAATAAATAGAATAAATAAAACATCCACGGTGTTGCAAGACGGTTAATTGCATTATAATTGAAAAATCGTGTATACGTTGAACGTACGTTTCCACTATGATGATGATCGTCGCGCTGTTGTTAATAAAAACCAATTAATTTGCAAGTTCTTCCCTTCCTTCCATGGCAATTTCTACGCGCAAAAAAAAGTCGAGTAATCGTTGAAAGTTTGTTAACTTATCCTCTATGTTGTCAATCATTCGCAGACGTTTGGAGCAGAATCGTATCACGGAAATTCCGCCCAAGGCTTTCTCCCCGTACAGAAAACTGCGTAGAATGTGAGTGACGTTAGCGATTAATCCAATTTATGTTTCTTCATGTACGCGATTTTATCTGACGACGTTTAATTTTTTTCTATTTTTTCCCTTTTTTTTTTTCCCTTTATTCCCGGATGCCATCTACAGCGACCTCAGCAACAATCAAATTAAAAAGGTGGCGGCCGATGCGTTTCACGGGTTGAAATCATTGGAATCACTGTGCGTATTAAATTAAAAATTGTTCGAAGTAAGGAGTGTTTTGAGCATTTTTTAACGGATAAAATTTTGCTCGACTTGCAGAGTATTGTACGGAAACAAAATCACCGAACTGCCTAGCGGATTGTTCCAAGGATTGACCAATTTGCAATTGCTGTGAGTCTATGTTAAAAGATTTTTAATTATTGGCAATGATAAATAATTTTCAGAAATATATAGTTTTTAAATTGCCTCTTTCTTATTAATTCGAATCAATCCAATATCTCAATTTTTCTCAATTTTTATCAAACGGAGACGAATTTTTTATATTTCTAATTCTTCGCGAAAGTTCATTTTTCAATATTCAATACAACAACGAAATAAAACCACTTTTTCCCTCGGCAAAGAAAAATTTCGATTCGAAAAACAGATTCGATCGAATTTTTGTTTGCTCCTTGTTTCCACCTACCTGATTTAATCCCGAATCAATTTTAAAATAAACTCTACTCTCGCCCACTGTTTAATTATTCCGCGGATTGAGCGCAAGCGGATCGGGAGTGGGGCGTAAATTGACGACACAAAACGAACTTTTCAGGCTGCTGAACGCGAACGAGATATCCTGCATACGAACCGATCTGTTCCGAGATCTGACCAGCCTCACTCTGTTGTCCCTCTACGATAACAACATCAGATCCCTGGCCAATGGAACTTTCGCCAATCTACGAAGCATTGAAACGCTGTTTGTATCCCACCATTGGACCGTTAATTTATACAAATTACCGCGGCTTTAACGCTCGAATGCACGGAAAGAGAGAGAGAGAGAGAGAGAGAGAGAGAGAGAGAGAGGGATCGAATTGCAAACGCGTGTCACCGGTATACACACGATTGTGCGTATACCACGGAACTCGCGGAATATTCGAACTCTCGATTGTTCGCTGATTGACACTCTTTCAACGTTTTCGCGCTCCACCGGTTTACGTACAGGCAAATTGTTCGATTCTGTTCGAATTAATCCCGTTATACGTCCGTTTAATGATATTATTCGTTTTAGACTATTAGGGGATAATTGTACGGTAATTAATTGATACGTATTAGAGGATAGTTGCGGTGGAAAGATATTGGGATATTTTCGAAATTATCGATACGTTCCATAGCGAATATAAATCTCTTCTAGTGATTTTTTTTTTTTTGTTTTTGTTCGGGAATTAAAGCTTTTTTAAATGATATTTATAATTTATATCGTAGAAAGTAAAATATATTTTGAAAAGATCGCAAAATTTAATAAGAATTTAATTTCTTGGATATAAATTGCAATTTTTCGATTTAATTTAATAACGGTATGAATATCGAAAGAATCGTGTTTTGGATCGATGAAAAGACGAGGATTTTTATGAGATAACATTTTCCCGTTTCTCCACAGACATTTGGCAAGGAACCCGTTCATCTGCGACTGCAACCTACGATGGCTGAACGCGTATCTTCACGCGCATCCCATCGAGACGTCGGGAGCCAAGTGCGAGTCGCCGAAGAGGGCGCAGAAGCGGAAGATCGATTCGATGCGGGACGACAAGTTCAAATGTAAGGGTAAGCACGACCCGATTTTCTTTCATATTTCTCTCTTAAACGCAACGCACGGATATACAAATCGGTAATGCAGTAGGATATTTTCCATCTTTTGGCTGAACAGAGGGATCGTCGCTCATGATACGTGTTAAGAAATGGGTCAGTGATATGTGAAAATATTTTTCAATCCGATCCTTTTTCCTTTGAAAGTTTTTTTCAAAGAATAATTTAAATATTAAACAGCAATGTTTTTTTTCTCTTCTCCTTAGAATTTATGATAATTCTTCTGGATCAATGATTTCCAATCTATTATATAACTCTTTTTTATATAACTCTCATTTATTTCGCCACTTGTTAATTTTAATTTAACAATTTCATTGCCATATATTCTATAAAACGATACACTTGGTAAATAATTCATTTTTATTCGTTTATCTTATTTTTTCTTATTCTCATTCGAGGGACGAGGGAATTGCAAGTTATCTTAATATCGCGAAATGAGATGGCAACTGAAAAGAGGATCGCCGGAGAACACTGTTCCAGATTATTACCATTATGTTTAATTAACGCTTCATCAACGAGGCACTTTTATCACGCGGGCTATCGCCGTTTTAATTCAAATTCTCCCTGAAAATGGGTCGCAAAAAAAAAAAAAAAAAAAAAAGGAGAGTGTTCAAGCGTTTCGTCTAAATTTTTTTTCCTAAAAATTGCAAAAGTTCTCGGGAAATTTTACATTCACCGGTGGTGGGATAGTAAGTTCTCGTTTTGCCGGAAACGTGGCGTTACGATAATGCGCGACTACACCATGCGTGCCAGCCAAGTGTTTATTTTCCGGTGTCATTTTCCCAGCGCGCGAAACAACAACGGAAGGGAGGGGGGAGGGAGGAAGAACGAGATTACATTCTGCTCGGCTAAGTGTAATTAGGTGAAATATAACGGCGTGAAAAGGAAAAGCACGGTCTTCCTGTTGTTGTTAATCTCGAACGTCTTAAGAATTTTCCGCGCATCCACGCCCTCTATCCTCCTCCATTATTTGCATCTCATTTCCAACAGACTTTTTCCAACAGACTTTCACTTCGTTTCGATCTTTTAATATCAACGACTAAGAGATACTAAGGGATCGAAAGGAATTATCGTTTTTTAAAATTTTTATTTTCAAATTATTATAATATTATTCCATATTTGGAATAAGAGCGTTTTGATAATCATTTTTGGATGTGTCCAAATAAATACTCGTATTATTTATTCCAAAAATATGAGAAAAGAAATATTTCAATCGAAAATTAATAAAATCAAATTATGTTACAATAAATTACTCGATATTTATGTATATTATTATTTCAATATTTATTATATATATTATTTCAAATAAGAAAAAAATGTTTCAGTCGCGGAACGAAATGTTGTAAAATCAAAATTCCAGGGGAATCGGAGGGGATTAATTGAAGTCGAAGATTGGCTCGCAACGGGGGTTACCTTGTTAACGTCGGCCGCGATAAATTTTGATAATGAACAGCAGTAGCTGGCGATATCATTAAATTAAGCATCGACGCGATGCCATGCGCTCGTTTTCCGTCTCTCTCACACGTTAATTGAGTGTTGAATGTCACGGTGCTCACGAGGTGAATATGTTTATGTATGAGTACGCGCGCGCAGGTGATTTATCATCGCATTATACGCCGCATTACAAATTGTCCGCCGCGATACACGCGCGTAATTATATCGGTAATTTGCGTCCCGCGTTTAATAACGGTCTACACGCGGTGTCGCGTGCCCACTTTCTCCCTGGATCTTCGTCTCTCCCTTCCTCCGCCTCTCCTCGTAATTAGAATCGATAAAACGTATAAATACTTACGAAACTTAGGAAACGAGTGAATCGTAAGAATCGTGTTTAGTTGGTATAATTGGGATTAGAACGATTAAAGAAAATAGTTTGTCGAAGATCATGTTCGAAACTTGTGTGCTCGAAGATTGCAGAATGCGGCGATGCTCCTGCAGAGATATCCTGTTTACTTTGCCAACTTAACCTAACTTGAACTAAGAAATAATCTAACCTAATCTGAATTTAACCTAAACTTAACCTAACCTAATTTGAATTATAGAAATAATCCAATCCAAACGGGGATGATTATATTTAATAATTTATATTTATATTTTTGAAAATAGAAATCTGTCTATTTAACAATAAACGTTTGAGTAGTCTGTTTAAAAGTATTATTTTTCCTTTTCGAATTTTCTAGCCAGCCTAGAAATTATTTAGAAGAACGTGTCAGATGTATATAACCATGCTTGACCATTTTCTAACGCTCTTAACGCTTTTTTTCACGATCAATAACCTGATACGTATATTTTCTTTCGCTCGTCCCTTGTTAAAAGTTGGCACATTTTCCATCCTGATAATATTCGTGGATTAGATAGTTCCCTAATACATTGCTACGTTTTTGTATAATAAATTGAAGTTGAGTGCTGCTATAATGGTACCGCAATTTCTACTTTATAAAAGCCTGAGGGCCATTAACGTGACAGTACGTGTCATTTCGTGAGTAAAAGCTGACAGCGTGTAACGTCGCGTTATACGCTTTGGTTCGTCGATGTTGGCAGTGATAATGTAACGATATAATCCACGTCTAAACACTGAAGTCAGAATATTTGAAGAAGATTCCGTTCGAATTTAAAATTATTATACAGGAAAACGAAATACTTGAAATACTAGATCGGACATCTTCGTCGAAAGTACTCTTCAATGTAGAGATTGTTTCGCGGTAACAATTGTGTATTATTTATAATTAAAACTCTCTCTCCAATAACGATAATTATTATTATTAATTATTAATAATTGTTGTTATATTCATTTATCGAGATAATGGCATGTATTTTCAAGCGAAAATCATTATTTATCGCGAAAGGTAGTAGCTCTACTAATTAAGATTAGCAATTTCAGACACGATGTTGCGTTTTCAAGCGCTTAAACGCTCAAATCATTGATTCATTCACGAGAGCGACGCTCTGTGGCCCTGAGAAGGAAAGGCAGATCAGACCAGATTGTTTGAAGTAGATTTTGTATCCGGCTGTTTGTACTTAGGCGACGAGGAGCTCTTGACGAAGAGAGCGGGCGAGTGTATCCTGCCTGGAGAGTGTCCAGATCCATGCGTTTGCAACGGAGCAACCGTCGATTGTTCGAACAAGAAGCTCACTTCCATACCGAAGGAATTGCCTATTTATACGTCCACCCTGTGAGTAACTCTTTTATTCCTCTAAATTATATAACATTCTTTTGTAATCCATACAACTAACGGTTAAAGAATCCTAATTCAAACTACTATTTCCATTTACCATTTAAATCTCAATTTCTTTAGATCGATTGAAAAAAAATATATATTTAAAAAACTCGTTTCCCCGAAAATTGAATAACCAAATTGCCAACGCATAGCTTTCTAATCTAATCCAATTAATTATTATAATATTAATTAAAAGAATTAAGCGATTCGACTGTTCGCGATCATCTAACTATATCAATCGAGCGTTTTAACAAAGGATATCAGATATCATCGGATTAGAAAGAAAGAAAGGATCGATCTGGCCAGTCGATCGTGACGAATCGGAGGCCGGTTCGCAGACCCCTTCGTTTTCTCGTTGGCGCGAGAAAATTAATTCAAACGGCCGACAAGATAATTATCTGATCAAAAGTCCGGCCCGTACGATCGGGGGAGTCCAACAATGAATCGTCGAGCTATTATTCGAAATAAATTATTCGAGCTCGTTTAATGGATCGACGCCCTATAGCGCGATTAATTGCTCCGCTCGAGTGTCGGCCGGCAAAGATAGACTTCTAACTTTCTCGTCTCCTTTCTTCGGCCAGGCTGTTGGCCAACAATGAGCTGGATAAGATCAAAGCTGATGGCCTGTTCGAGAAGTTGCCCGAGTTGCAGCATTTGGACCTTAGGAAGAACAAAATATCGCGCATCGAGGCGTCCTCGTTTCAGGGCGCTCACAAGCTGACCGATTTGTAAGTTTTTTTTTTTTTATTTTTATCTTCCTCCATTTTAGTCGAGAAGTTTTATTATGTTGAAGTTCGATGATTACGCGTTTTCGAAAAATTTAATTTCGTGGAATAAAAGATTGTTCGAAGGGGATGGAAATTCTTTGAAATTAAATAACAGTTTAAGGGTGGTTTAATGGTATTTTGATTTATCGAGGAAATTTTGGTATAAATTAAACAAGTAATTCGAATCTAATTTTACCTTAAGTTTTAGCTTCTTGTAATTTTCAAAGTAATTTATTATTACTTTCCATTTAAATTTATTATCACTTAATTAGAAACTTGAAAGTTTAGAACATTCTAAGAGGAAATTACCGTACTCTCTGTGTACAATAATCCAATTTTCATTTGAAAATTAATTAATTGAACGCGGGTGATAGAATATCTTAATTCGTTAGAAAACAAAATTTACAAAGAATGTTACAAAACAGAATAAAGCGTTTAATAATTCAAAATACTTTAATTCCACGATGTAATTTAATTTGTCATCGAATTGTTGTTCGTTTTCTTCTTTTTTTTCTTTTTTTTTTTTTTTTGTTTTTCCTTCTCCCGAAACGTTTCTCTAGACGAGAAAGTTTCGAATAACGGGGGTCTGTATTCAGACGAGTCGAGATTACTTGCGTTATTTGTGCCTAACTCGATCGGGACTTTGAAACGAGCTTTAACGAAGCAGAATAGGATTTAATTTTCAAAGGCAATTAACGGGACAATGGGTCGATTAATTAGATAGCCGGAGGGGCGGAGGGCGGGATGTTACTCCCGTGTGTACTTTAGTACGGGCGAGTGCGGGGTATGAATCGAAATGACGTGTACCCCCTGAGGAGAATCGAATCAAACGATAAACATTTTCATTTGAATCGAAGGAAAAAAATATACTTTAAATTATCTTCACGAAAAAAAGATATATATATATATATACGAAAATTCTTTCTTTTCTCTTCTTCATTTTAACTCTTATCCTTCTTTTCCAAATTAATTCTCTCCTCTATTAGGCGAAGAAAAATTTCCAAAGAATGTGTAAATTTTTTTTCTTGAAAGAAAATTTCATACCACCAAACGAACAAAATTGGAGGGAAAAAATTATCTTGAGGAAGAATAATAATTTTCCAGCGTTTCGATTATTCCATCTTTCTCGAAGTCGTTTATTTTATTGAAAAAAAAAAGGATAGGAATAACGCACAATAATAATTTCTGTGCAAATTTTCAACGTACGTTCAATCACGAGCAGAATCGATTCCCAAAGTCTCCCCTTAGAGAAGAGAGACCCTTTTTTTTTTCTCTTTTTCTCTTTAATATTTCGTAACCATACGCCTTGTACTCGTTGTATCTCTCCCGATGCAATAACGAGCTCTCGTTTCGTAGATTGTTGTCGGAGAACAGGCTGAGGGAGGTTCACAACAAGATGTTCACCGGGCTGACGAATCTTAAGACCCTGTGAGTAGAAACTTTTATGTCTCTTCATAAAACGGTATTCATACGCTGTATATATATAAATATACATATATATTCGAAACGTGATTTTCACAGGAACCTGCACGGGAATGCCATAACCTGCGTTATGCAAGGCTCGTTCGACGGATTGACGCATATACGCACCATGTGAGTATACCGTATAACGACACCGTTATATCTCTTTTTTAAACTAGACTCCTTTCCTTTAAACGCGAAATCGATTCTCTCGGGCGAATGTGAAATTGTTTATTGAATTTCGCCTTCGAAATAATATTGCACGCTCAAACTGCTTGTCGGAATTTATCGAAATTGGTAGATATTATTGACTCGTTCCACTTATTCTGAATATGCTCGAGTGGAAAAAAAGTATTTTTGCGTAATACAGATATGATGGAAAATATGAAAATTGTTTCGAGTAGTAAGAAAATTTAAACGGGAAATTCTACTTTTTGATTCTTTTCAAATCAAATCGAACTATCAATCTTTGATTTCCCTATAAGATTATCAAATTTTGAATTTACCCGTTCGAGTAAAAGTTATTAGCAATTGTAAGAACAATGAACGCGACGAATAAAATAATATAAAGTCTGAAAACCCTCTGCTCTCTTCGCTTAAAGAATTATTTTATTCCTTATAATAGGGAGGGAAAAATCGTGCAAAGGAAAGAATTTCTTTAGCGGAGAAAAATGAAAATCATCGTCGTGGAATAATTACTATATATATATATATATTATTAAAACATAATCTTGATTCGACGTAATAATTACGTTGCAGAGAATCGAGTGAAAACGAATCGGTGGGATATGATCGAGAAGTTCATACGTACGTATTTAATTATCGTTGAACGGTGTAACGAAGTTAATTTATAATTAATCGTTTTAACGGCTCGTACCGATACACCGGTAGAAACGATTTCGAAAGTAAAATACGAGAATCAATAATCATAACGTTTCTCGTACGAGAGAGAGAGAGAGAGAGAGAGTAACGCGTTCGCCGTATTAAAACGCGAATATTTAATCGGATTAGTATTATAGAATGATTATATGAATTACGGTTCATCAATATTAACGAGACAACGATATGGATTCATTAATTATTACGTGTATGTGCGTAGCAGCGCGGTATTTCCATTCCGCAGTTGACATTCCCGCCTCTCCGTAAAATATATTTCGTGCTTACGCGCGCATAATTAATAGCAGCCTAATAAATTGCTTCGCATTTTCAGCAACATGCAAGGCAATCCTTTGTCGTGTAATTGTCATCTCGCGTGGTTCGCCGGATGGTTGAGAAAACGCGAAACGCCGTTGTCAGGCGTCGTTGGACACTGCCACGACCCACCAAGATTGAAAGATGCGATCGTCAAAGATATCCCCCATCACGAGTTCAAATGCAACAGTGAGTTTGCAACTTTTTTCCTATTTTTTTTCTTTTAGTATCCTTTTTTCGTTCGTAAATTAAATTTTTCCCCCCCATAACTTGATGTTTTATAAAAGAAAGAAAAAATTTTTATCAGGAATCATCTATCGCTGGACAGGTGTAAAATATTTTCTGTATTAAATTATATTTCAATACTTTGAATTTTTTAAATAGTTTCTCCAAGTGATTATTAGCAATATTTGGAAACGATACCTTTTGAACCAAGATCCTTCATAACTATATAAACTTAGTTACTTTAAGTTGAATTTTAATTTTAATTTTTTCAACTTATCTTTTCCAATAATTAAATTAAAAATCAACGAGTTTAAATTCTTATAATCCTGAAATTTCCCGGTCCTATTCCGTTTCTCCTTCGTTCTCACGATCTTCACACTTTTGATCGGCGCACGAATTTGAGATTAACGATCGATCGTTTGCTTTACGAACCGCAGACGACAGCGTGGGTTGCCTAGGAGACGATTACTGTCCACCCCAATGTAATTGCGCCGGCTCGGTGGTGAGATGTTCGAGATCTCAGCTTACGGAGATACCACGTGGGATTCCGCCGGAAACCACCGAACTGTATTTGGACGTGAACGACATCAAGACGATCCAGCCAGAGAGGCTGAACCACCTGAGGATTCTCACTAGATTGTAAATAAAATACACGTGTGACGACACGTTTTCCCGAAATGGGGAAAAAGAAAGATTTTAACATTTCGACCCCTTTCTTCTTTTTTCAGGGATCTGAGCAACAATCAGATCGGGATGCTGTCCAACGATACCTTCAGAAATCTCACCAAATTGTCCCACTTGTAAGTAAGAGAAGTTTAGATTTTCTTCATTTGATATTTTATTCTAAAAATTAAAAATTTCTTTCTCGAGAAATGGACCATATTTTTAAAAAAAAAAATTCGACATTATCCTATTCAATTTTGCACAGATCGTCTTCTTTAGTATAATAAGATCGATCGTTTTGATGAAACTGTTATTTTTATTTAAGAATGTTGTATCGTTGATCAATATAGTTTAACTCGTTTTAAAAAGACATTCGATCCATTTCTCTCTCAAATTTATCATCCAAGTTGAAATATTAACTCACAATTTCGACGAATTTCCAGAATTATCAGCTACAATAAGTTACAATGTGTCCAACGTAACGCTCTGGCCGGCTTGAAATCGCTGCGGATAATGTGAGTCTCGAATCGCAATAATTCTCGAACAATAGCTAGATTTATACCGTTCCTTTTATACATTTCGACATCGAGATTTCATAAATCATCGGGGAAGGAATGTGAAAATGATTCACAATAAAGTTGGTGTGGATCATTTTTCTGGACGAAAGCGTTCCGCTACCTTCCAATATGCTTTCCATTATGAATTAGATGGGGAAATTAACAATCGTTAATGGGACGCGCATTAAGTTTTCGATAATGAAATAAACAAAAGCGTGTACGAAACGATGTGGTCACACAATTTATCGATCACGATCGTCACAATGATTTATCGTCGCACGTTTATTGCGTTATTTGCGTTATTAATTTCTTGATGCGGGTAATTTGAGGAACGATCGTTCTTTATCATCGTAATTATTATAATTAATTCGTCGAATCATTGTACACGTTGAACTACGAGGAGAAACGATTTATCGGGGATCGACGTTGCTAGGTTCATTGGAAATTATTACTGATTTCGAAAGAGGATGGGGGGAGGGCGGATTTATCGTATTAGCAAATAATCATTTGGTCACCAGTTACGAATTCTATGATAATACCGGTTTAATAATATCGGTTTTATTAATTGATAATGATTGTATTGAATTGTATTGCATTTAACGAATATGTAACGAGATGGACGGTAAGATATGACAACAATTCAAAACTTTCTGTTAATCTCTGGCAATGGTACGCCAAATTGTACGTGTATAATTTTGGTATTGAAAAAGCAAATTATTCGATTTTATCTTAATTTCCATACGAATTTAACCGCTCGTTAGCAGTTATATTTTCGCTGTAAAAACACGCAATAAGACAAAACGTTTTATTGGTACGCATCCAATAAAGAATATTCAAATTTCCATCAAAAGGGAATTATCTGTATGTACGATTTTAACGTCGTTTTAAAATAAAATTAACGTCAGGGCATTAGCAGTTGGAATATTCACGTTGTAAAATTAACATAACAGAACAAAAACCATTTATTCTCTCGCGAAATGTTCCGATATAATCAAATTTTCTTTTAAAAACCAAATTACACGAATTTAACGTTTTTTAACAACCTTAATGCCTTTGGTTTAATATATTTAATTTTATCGAAGGCATCTATTGTATTAAAGTAATTGGAAAAGAAAAAAATATGAAACCCATTCGAAATTAATTTAATAAAAATTCTCTACGATAATAATTCCAATAATTTCAATAAATCTAAATACATAATAAATAAATATAATCAGAGAATTATAAAGTCTCGCCTCGACAACTCTGATAATTCTCGTGATAAAAATAAAAAGTCTTTCACAAATCCTATATTGATACGCTTATTAAAAACTCAATTTTATCTTAAATAAAAATACATTTACATAATTTTGAGAATACATACACAATTTTTCGACCCGTCATTATCTATTATAACTATTTCCCTTCGTTCCCCGAATCACCGTTAAATCTTTTTATCTCACCTTTTATATAAAAATAAACCATCACAAAATTAATTTAAAAGGATAGAAACTTTTACCACCGGTCCAATAACGATCATTTAAAATCCAGGTCTCTGCACGGTAACGACATATCGGTGATCCCGGAGGGGGCGTTCGAGGATCTTCAATCTATAACCCACCTGTGAGTACACCCTCCCTCGCGAAAGCGAACGCATTGCTTTCCTGAGACTGTCGATAACTCACCAATCCTGTATGTACGCCTGTTTACAGCGCTCTTGGGTCCAACCCGCTCTACTGCGACTGCAGCATGCGATGGTTGGCCGAATGGGTGAAAAAGGATTACGTGGAGGCAGGTATAGCGAGATGTATGGAGCCTCCAGCGATGAGGGACAAGCTGTTGCTCACGACACCTGCGACCGCATTCCAATGCAAAAGTATGTATTTCCTTCGACAGATATCGCGATCGTGGCGAAAGTGGCCAGCTGCTGGGATCAGGTTCTCTTCCAGCAATTGATTCGAACCGCGAATTCTATATACGCGTGTATATATTTGCTACGTCGAAGATCAATTGATAGCGTCGATCAGTTTATAGCTAAAGGCTGGTTTTCTAAATAGGATGGAATTTACTTTATTCCTTTTGATAAATCACTTTATAATTTTTTTTTATTATGTTTAAAATAGTTATCATTGCTATTCCAGTATTCAGAATAAATACATCACTTCCGGAATAATTTTATTAAAATTTAATTATCTTCGTATTTCAATTCAAGAAATTACTTGAAAAATTATATTTCGCTCAAGGATAAAGAGATATTTGAGATAATCGAGAGAAGGAAAAAATCAGTTTCCAAGATTTTGGAAAAAGCCTGATCAATTGAAAAATATGGAAGGATGAATTTTTGATCAGCAGGCCGCTATCGACCCAACGATCGGCGAAAATGTATCGCACGTGCATATGTTTTTGATTTCTCATTGGTCTGGTGAATCAGTCTTGTTTAGTTCATGGTTTTTTGGCCCGTTGTCACAATGGGGTACTAAAATTGCTCATTAATCGTAGACCTTTCTTCCGCGCAGCCAACCAACAGCCAGCCGAGGTCTTGGCCAAGTGCGACCTGTGCTACACCTCGCCATGCCAGAACGGAGGATTTTGCGAGGCGCTCCCGGACCGGAAGTTCCGTTGCAAATGCGCGCCAGGATATCATGGGGACAGGTGTGAACATAAAATTGACGCGTGCTATGGAAATCCTTGCGGGAACACCGGAACTTGTAAAGTATTGGAAGAAGGAAGATTCAGGTATCAAACGTCTTGACTAATATAACGTAGAGAATATTTTTGGCCAGCTCGTTCGGGTCTAATTTATATGTGCTCGTTCAGTGGTGCCCGTAGAGATCGAGATCCGCGATGAATTCTAATCGAATTTGTATTTATTCTTCTCCTTTTCTTTTTCTTTTTTTTTAATAATTCTTTTTCTTTTTCGTTTTATTCTATTTTATCTGTTATTCATCCATTTAATTGTTATCGAAGATAGAAATTTAAGTTTTACGTGTATATTTCGTGAAGATTTTGGAAAAAAAAAAATTTTGATTTCTTTTTTCTGGAGATTTATTTATTTACGAAATGTAATGTAGTTGGAATTAGAATTCCGCGGATATCGAATCAGATATATATATATAAATCTGTGCATTTGCTGTAGCTCGATTGATTTCTTTCAAACCTTCTGCGTACGGAAGGCAGTAGTGTTGGTCAGAGATAAGGTAGACGTGCACGAAAAAAAGTATTTGGCGAGACAATAGTATTGAATATCTATCGTAGCTGTATTGCATCGATCGTGAAAATATTCGTGTCGCTGAAATAGACAAAGCTATTTGACGAAAGTTATTTCATTGTTTGGTAGTATGAGTCGATGATTATGAACCTCCAACCTACTAGGTTCATACTTTTTCCTTTTTTTCTTTTTTTTTTTTTTTTTTTAATTTACAAACATGCATTGGAAGAGTTAATATTGTTGCGCGTTGATGTATATTCCGAAATATACATAGGGGGAAGCGTATTTGCATTGTAAAAGCGCTGTTTAACGTATATAAGTAGAGTATGAAATGTAGTTTCAGTAGCAGTAAATTGCACGTACAAAAAGCGTGCACTGTTTTATGAATAAATAAAACGGGACCTCTGCACGTGAGCCCCGAACAGTACAACGTACACGTAACGATCTATCGACGAAGCGAATTATAATTCGATAATCCTTTCCTCGAAAAGCAATAATCGAACATTACTTAATCCCCTCCAAAAAATATCCCTATTAAAATATCAAAACCAACATCGATTCTATAATATTACCTTCTTTTTCTAAATTAATCTAATATTTACATCCACTGAATTAAAAACGATCATTTCTTCTGCGATCTCTAAAAAAAAAAAATATACTTTTTTTAATATTTCGATAATAAAAGTAATTCAAAGTTAAAGTAAAAATTGTGAAATCGGAAATTATGAGCGAGATTCAAATATACGTTCGAGGACACATTCGTCGACACAGGTCGGTTGCGCGTAACGTGAGATCGATTGGCGGATATACCGCGATCGAAGGTCATGGTCAATGTCTCGATTGACGATCAGTCGGTGTGCGACAGTTGCGACTGCGCCCCCGGGTACAAGGGACTTCGATGCGAGAACAACGTCGACGACTGCGAGGACAACAAGTGCTCGAATAACTCAACCTGCGTCGACCTCGTACAAGCCTACAGATGCGAGTGCGCCCCAGGATTCATGGGCGAGTACTGCGAGGAGAAGATACCCTTTTGCACAAAAGGGCACGACCCCTGCGAGAACGGGGGCCGGTGCGTCGACCACGGGACCCACTATAGCTGCGAATGCCCAATCGGCTTCACCGGCCTTAATTGCTCCACCAACCTGGATGACTGCGTTGATCATATGTGCCAGGTACGTATCTTCTCTTTTCCCAACTAACTATTCGGACGATAATTTGAAGATTCTTTTCAGAACGGTGCTACTTGCATCGACGGCATAAACAATTACGAATGTAAGTGCGCGGCGGATTATACAGGGAGATATTGCGAGGCCGCACCATCGACAGTCATGCTCTACCCGCAGACTAGTCCGTGCGCGCATCATGACTGTCAGCACGGTGCATGCTTCCAACCTGCTCCCGCTTCCGCCGCGGACTACCTTTGCCAGTGCCACCCCGGCTACACCGGTGAGTAACTTAACTAGTTTTCCACTTTTCTCTTCATTCCGATCAAAAGAGTATAGAGTGAATATAATACTCGTTCCTTACAATCCTATCCTAATCGTATTATTAAAAATAAAAATAAGTTAGATAGAAACTCGTAAATATTAAAATATAGAATTAAGAAAAGAAAAAATAAAAGATCGATAAGGGGATGAGTAGGGAACGATATCGAAAAGTTGTGTGTATATACGAAAATATATATATATATATATATAGAGTTGAAAAAATGGGATTAAAGGAAAACGATGCGAGTACCTGACGAGTTTGAGCTTCGTGGACAACAGCTCGCTGGTCGAGCTGGAGCCGCTACGCACGAGGCCTGAGGCGAACGTGACCATCGTGTTCACGACCACGCAGGAAAACGGGGTTCTCCTCTACAACGGTCAGAACGGCGATCACATCGCCGTCGAATTGTTCAACGGCCGCGTAAGGGTCTCGTACGACGTTGGCAATTATCCAACCTCGACGATGTACAGTTACGAAATGGTCGCCGATGGTAAACCTCACGTGGCCGAGCTTCTCGCGATCAAAAAGAATTTCACGATGAGGGTCGACAATGGAGCGGCTAGGAGCATTATCAACGAGGGTCCTAAGGAATATCTGAAACTCGTCGCGCCCATGTACGTTGGCGGCGTCGCGCCGGAAGTCGCCAACGTCGCGTTTACCGAGTTTCATCTGCGGAACATCACCAGCTTTCAAGGTGAGATCTTATATTATATTATATATCGATTGGAGAGGATACTTTATTTAATGTAAAGATATAAATTTAACTTGTTTTTTAATAACAATATAATGTGGAGGAGTCACGAAAAATAAATAAAATTCGATACGCGTGTATTTTCTTTTCCACTTGGAATTTTCACGCGTGAGAATAAATTAAAAAATACTTCGTTGAAATCGTTTCTTCGTTTTATCTTTCGACATCTCGATTGATTGTCACGATATAGGTTTTCATAGTATTTAAAACGATGGATTATGAATGATTTTTTGGAATTTGGGATGATTCCAGTAAGTGACAAGGAAGAAGATAGTAAACGATTAAAAATTAACCTTCTCTTTATTATACTTTCTGAAAGTCGTATCGAGATAAATTAAAAGATCAAAATTACTATCTTCCAAGTTGTAGCTTCTTAAAATTTTCCTAATTTTAATGAAATTTAATCGAGTTAAAATAATTTAACTATTTTGATACGACGTTAAAACGTAATTTAAAAGCTCGTTTAATCAATCACGCGAACAATTTCCTTTCCTCTCTCTCTCTCCTCAAGGCTGCATCTCGGAGATGTGGATCAATCACAAGTTGGTAGACTTCAGCAATGCAGCGAAGATGCATCGCGTAACTCCCGGCTGCATGTCAAACGAGGAAGAAGCTGACGAGGCACGGGACGTCGTGGAAGCGGAAGGAATTATGGGCAGCAGCAACGAGGAATCATTGCCACAAGAGGGGATGGCTCACGAGCATTCCGGTACGAATCCACTCACTTATTCATCCAGTATCGAATAATATTCACACGGCATGATATATCGCGTGATGTAATATCGAATCTCCACCTCTATTCGAGATAATAATAATTCCGATCGATATTAAAAGAAACGGCGTGCCCATTTGACATACGTTCACTTTCGTTGCAGACATCGTTATGACGGGACCTGGCACGATAATTTCCGATCCGTGCACGGGACACGAGTGCAGAAAGGGGTCGCAGTGCGTGCCATCGCCGATCGGAAATGGATACACGTGCCGGTGTCAAACTGGGTGGCAAGGACGGTATTGTGAGAAAGGTACGAAGATTCATGGTGTACTTGTAGGAATTTTCTTTTTTTAATAACAAATAAACGGAAACGAGTAATTACACAGTGTGATTTAAATCAAGAAGGTATTTTAAGAGGAAGAAGTTAGAAAAATTTAATATAGCTGTCGAAATAAGAAATTTTATGTATCTCTGTTGCAGCACCGACGTGTCGCAAGGAGCACACCAGGGAGTATTATAGCGAGAACGGATGTCGGAGTCGACGACCAGTAAAACTTGCCAAGTGTTGGGGTAGTTGTGGCAACTCTTGCTGTCTGCCGAGGAAAACGAAACGGCGCAAGGTACGATTACGTCAAGTACTCGTCTCTCAACATTTTCAATAATAGAATAAATAAATAACCCTTTCATAATCGAAATCGAATGGAGCAATCTTCTCCTGCAAATTTTCACCTTAACTTTATCTTAAAAATAAAAATAAAAAAATAATAATAATCGAACGTCTGGAATGTACGACAGGTACGATTGATCTGCGCCGACGGGATGCGGTACACGAAGGACGTCGATCTGGTGCGCAAATGCACGTGCACCCGGAAATGCTACTAGCCAGGACCGAAACACGCCGAGCGCCACAGGTGTTCCATAAATAAGCGTCGAGACGTATCGAGACCGAGAGGAAACCCCCGAGAACCGTTCAGACAGTGCCCCAATTCGAACTTTCTACGCGCACGGGTGATGTGGCGAGAGTCGATCGCGGATCCGTGGATACGAATCTTCCTCGGCGCGTCCTCGTCGAACGCGTGACGAAAGTCTAAGGGGGCCGCGGGACTGCCAGGCCTGAATGAAAAAAAGAAAAAAAAATAAAGAAAAAAGAAAATAATTAACGAAAAAGATGGACACATACACACACACACTCGCAAAAAGAAGAAGAAGAAGAAGAAGAAGAAGAAATAAAACAGCACACAGCCGGCTCAGTGTGATATTATTATTCGAAACGTGGAAGAAAGATATTATATTATGTGCGCGCGTTAGGATCGATGGAACTAAAGAATATTTGGGGAGGAGGATAAAACGGTATCGACGCATACGGGGCTAGATATTATTGTATTAATCGACGTATGCTCGACGATCGGAGAGTGGAAAATTGATTGGAGAGAACACGGACCGACACGAAACGTGTTCCCAACATTGTTCCCTTCAATACCACGCGCATGAATCGTTCGCTCAGTGTGAAATAGATCTAATGGATTACGATTGGTAGTTGGGTGGTAGTGGATGAAGTTGAGGTACGATCAATTTTTTTGTAACGAATTTCACGCTTAACGATTATCGATCTCTCAGAGAATTCCTCCTTCTCCTTCGACCCAGCCGATTCGTCGAAAGGGGAGGGGAATTTTTTATTATTAGCTCGATGATAATAAATAATAACGGTGAACAATTTTCGAAATGATGATCGTCTAGGGGAACGTTGTTGTTAACCTAAATTCTCAACCTTGTACGTTGTCATTGTCGCGCAAGCTTCGGTTTCTCGATGATAAACGAGGATTTGAGAGATCTGAGAGATCGAAATTTCCGCGATTCGAAATTTCACAGTTTCCATCCGGGAATCTGATGATAGCGGATGAAAGCTTTAGGCTTTTAGAAGCGTGCTGAGCTTCGCGCAACTATTTTCCGAATCCTGACTATTTGTAATTGTAACTAAATGGGCGCAAATCGGCGAGATACGAATGAAAGAGATTAGAAAGGAACGAGCAGCATGTGTAAAAGACAGTCGCTAAGTTAAGTATTAAAGACACACGGTGTAACCGAGTTTTCGTGTTTCTTTCAACAAAATTTTCCCCAATTTAATCGTGAAAACTCGACGGATTGTTAGGTCTATTGTCCTCTGAGTAAACGTTTGTAACAAATACAAGTTCTCGAACAGGCAGTTGTGCAAAATGATGATCGGTATCTGGCATAATATAACGACACATGCATACACACACACACACACACACACACACACACACACACACACACACACACATGTATACGTACACGAGCAAACATCGAATGATCAATCGAAAATGGTCAATCAAACAGACAATTTCCATCATTTCGATTCCGTTTCGTTTCGTTACTATCTATTTTAATTATCTCTAATTATCGTTTAAGCTTACTATTTCTACGAAGAGTTAACCTCTCGATATTTAGTAATGGGATAATTTAACGCAGAAAAACAGTATATGTAAAAAAAAAAAAGCGTATCGCGTGTTTCTTGCCTCCTTTATTATTAATTTCGTTGCAAAATTGGCGATTATCGATAAAATTGCGAACATTAACAGGTTCTATACGATTTTCTATCGAACAAAAATTAATAATAATAATAAAAAAAAAAAAGAGCAGCTTCGAGGTAAATTCTAAAAAAAAAAATCTGTAAATAAATCTAAAATGGTTCCCTCTCGCGACGCATAATAAAAGGCAAGAAACGATCAAGGGTGATCGAAAGGTGATCTCTCGAAGCGAGAGACGAAAAAGCGACTCGAGGAGCCTCGATTCTTTCATTCCACGGCCTAAGGTACTGTTCTTCGAGGTTCTATCGTGCGAATCGCACCATCTAGGTGTCTAGGTTTGAAAGGGGAAACAGGTCGAGAGATTGGGCGGCCATTTGTAGAAACGACGAATTTTTTAGATGGAAGCGTAATTAATTAAAAGTGATTCTCGGGGACAATCCCATTGATGCCCGAGGAAAGAGGAACGCGTAATTATTTTTGTATGAGCGGATTATTTAAATGATCGAGCGTCGACGACGACGACGATGATTTTTAGCGAATGTTTTTTCATCGGGGTGGCGTGATTCGTTCGAAACTAACTTAAGTCCCTCTTAATGTTTCCCTTATATTTAAAAAAAAAAAAAAAAAAAAAAAAAAATGTGTACCTACTCTGCGGATAACTGTATTACATCTTCCACTGCCAGTATTTAAGTCGTGTATAATTTATTCGTCGTCACGAACGATCTGGCGCTAGATCATTCGCCGGATTTATTCTTTATCGATCGATTGTTCTTATCGCACTTTCCAGACACCACGAGTCTCGCGATTTATTCGAGGCAAACGAATTTTCTACAATATGCATGATCGAGCCCTTTGCACTTTCATTCTTCGCGTGAAATCACAATTTTTCTTTAATGCTGTTGAACTTAATTTTCAATTTGTTCTGTCCCGTATCTTTTTATGATATTTTTCTCTTGTCTCTTTTCTTTTTTTCTTTCCATTAGCGTTGTTGAAATTATTGGCAAAAGAACAAGAAATAACAATAAGAAAAGTGCAAAGAGTTAAGTCGATCGGGTTAAATCGACAAAATACTCAGCAGTACAGTGTTCAGCGTTTTTCCAACCCTTTCGGTACGAGCGATTTATTTCCGAGGAACGAGAGATCGATGCCTGAAGAAAGGCGAACGAGTCGAATCTTGACGTTGAATAATTTAACGGATTTTTTTCCCCTTTAGATTTTTATATTTAAACCATTTTTGTAACCATTTTTGTATTTTGTAAGGATTAATTAAGTTTAATATATGAAATTGTATTTAACGTTGCACGATGTTACGTGTAATTCTCTACGTTTATAATATAAGTATAATAATATGAATTTTTGTAGAAAGTGTAAAATGAGCGAGTATTTATGAAGAAAAAAAAAAAATAATAATAATAATATATCGAGAAGGTTTCAATTATCGATTATGAACGAAATTCGTACCGAAAGGGGACCAACGAGAAGAAAAATATTTCTTATTATATTTAGATTAGATCTATAATATAGTCATTTCTTCCTTTCCCACACGACGATTCTACAAGTATCTTTATTTTATTTTTATTATCAATCGTTGTATGTAGCATCATCGATGCGATGATATTTGTAATAATTTGCGTAATTTCACTTTTATATGCATTCTTCGCGATCGAAGATTATTTTATTATCATCGTGTACCCCTTTTCTTTCGAGTGGAAGCATCGAGAAAGCGGAAACGAGACGAAAAGCATTATATCGTAGCACCTTATATCGTCACTTATTGTTATTGATTTTTCTCCTTGTAAAGGAAAAATGATACAGATAAGTGTACCATAGCGTATTTTCTACTAGTTCATAATTATTAACATTAATATAAGTTGGCTATCGCGTTGCGTTTCGAAATTAATTAATTTCTTTCCCATATTATAAATTTTATAAACTGAACATTGTTGGTGTTATTAACGCGTTGCTCGTTAGACGAAAATTTAATATATTTGCAAATTATTTATTTTCTTCTTCTTAATACGAACTCTTTCTCAATCGAATATCATAGATAAGAATTTTCAGAGAATAAAAAATTTTTTCTTTCTCTTAAATTGTAATAATATTTGAATGCCACGAGCAACGTGTCGAATTGAATACTTGTGAAATGAAATTGAAAACAGGATAAGCACACGTGATTGAAAACTTTCAGAATATTGATGATTATTCCAATAATTATATTATAGAATATACACATGGATATATTCTTGCTTGTTTGAAATATCTTCCATACCGACATAGGGGCTTGATCATCAACTCCATCTTTAGAATGAAAAAACAGTTATGAAAGATAAAGTAGAGCACGTCAGAGAATGGAATAAATACAAAAAAAAATCGTACGGCCAAATTGACTTCAGAATTACGCGAGAATATTTTATTTTTAAAAATGGTCCGGTTAATTTTTTCTTAAATTTTCAAAAAAAAGAAGAAAATTACATATTTCTCTCGTGAAAAAATTAATTCAAAATCAAGATACAACGATATTTATTAAAACTCCTCCAATATTTATTAAAAAGTTTGATAAAATAATCAAAAATTTATAAATTTCAATGAAAGCAGATACCAAACTCCATTTTCGCTCCATCTTCACTTTTCGAGGAAAAAAAATAAAACAAAATTAAAAAAATTCATCCCGAATCATCCAAATATATATCTGTTTTCTTAGATATGATCAAAAATATTGTTATCGATCAAATCATCATCAAATTCTGAAAGCTCGTCGATCTTTCGAAGAAAAAATAAAACTAATTAATCAAACTAACTAAAAAATGGTGAGAGAAACAGGATACAGAAGCCAGGCTGAGACAGAGGACGAGTGTAAAAAACTTATTACCAACACTGCCGATTACACGAAGGAAGTTGCGAGGGCCGTAGTCATTAATGAATCCCGCATTCGACCAAACATAACGTGCGAGTAATTCTCCTTGTAACGAGATTAACGTTCGCGCGCTACGTTTAAACGATAAAGGGGGAGGGAGGGAGGGAG